TTTTCACCTTTTTGGTTATTGTGAATAGTGCTGCACTGAATGTTGGTATCTAAGTATCTGTTTGAGTTCCTGCTTTCAGTTCTTTTGGGTATATATTTAAGAGTGAAATTGTTGGCTCATATGCTAATTGAGCTACATAGGATTTTCAAGCCTGATTTTTTGGAAGTAGGTCACCAGGCCTTTCTTCCAGGCCTTTGAGTGGACTCTAACCTCCAGCCTTTTGGTTAGCAGCTAAACATGTTAATTGTTTACCCTACCTAGATGGGGCAGTCTACTTCCGTAAAGATTTACCACCTTGGAAACCCAGTGGGGGGGGGGTTCACTGTGAGTCAGAGTTGACTTGATGGCAGTGGGTTTGGTTATTTTAGGGACTCCAAGGTATAGGCCAAACCATAGTATTCTTCAGTCTATCTTGGAGTCATGCTGTTGGTCTAAAAGTGCTATAGAAAAAAAGATGAAGAACACAGGTTTTAAGGAGAGTGGTATATCACATGTCACAGGATGTGCACAATTGCTACAGCCAAAAGTGATTAAGAAAAGCCTGCAGACTCACATATGAAGGTTTATATCTAAATGCTAATTCTGGTTTCAGAAATAGTATAGGGTATGGAACTGTATGGATAAATGTGTGGTTTTGTTGGTAACTGAAAGTGTATACTTTTAAAAATTGTTTTTTTTTGCTTAAAGTTATTACTAAATTAGTGGTTCATCTTATCATTTATGGTATCTTAATAGCGAGGAAATAAAATTACAGGATATACTAAGCAGCATTGGGGAATTTAGAGTTCTGATTAGATTTTACTTTGGCATTTTTGGGGGTTCTTGAACAAGTCATATCAGTTCTGTATTGTCTTCATGTTTTTTTTTTCTTTTTTTATTATTGAGATTTAGTTCACAGACCATAATAGTCACTCTTCTTAAGTATACAGTTTTTAACTATACAGTGGTATTTAGTATGTTCTCAAGATCATGCAAGCATACTTGAATTCCATTAAAATATTATCTAATTCCAGAACATTTTCATGTCCCCAAAAAGAAACCCTGTAACCATTAGCAGTCATTCTCCATTCCCTCTTTCCCTGTAGCCCCTGGCAAACCACGAGTCTACTTTCTGTCTCTATGGATTTACCTCTTTTGGACATTTCACATCAATGGAATCATGTAATATCCCTTTTTGTGTCTGCCTTCTTTCACTTAGCACAATGTTTTCAAAATTTATCTGGTAGCATGAATCAGTACTTTATCCCTTTTTATGGCTAAATAATATTCCATTGCACACCACCTTTTATTTATTCATTAGTTGATAGACATTTGGGTTATTTGCTGCTGTGGACATTTATGTATAACTTTTTATTTGAATACCAGTTTTCCATCATAATCATTGCCTTTGAAAGTAAATATAATTTATTTAATTTATATTTTTGTCTCTGGTGGTTGGTGCTGGATATTGGCTGACAGTTGGACTGTCAGGTGAAATGCCTACACATGGCTTTGGCCTGGGCTGTCTCACTGTATAGTGGCTAGGTTCTAAGAGCAAGCATCCTGTGAGCTAGAGGCAGGTGGAAGCTATATTATCTTTTATTACCTAACCTTAGAAGTCACCCAGTGTTGCTTCTGCCACAGTCCAGTCATTGAGGCAGTCACAAAAGACAACTCTTATTTAAGAAGAGAAAATTGAAACTCCACTTTTTGATAGGAGGAGTACCAAAGAATTTGCAAACTTATTTGTAAACAACCAAACCTTTCTACAAATGCAGTCCCTCCAGTTTGTGCCTGCTTTGGTCATTGTCTAGTACCTTAAACTAGTTCTTTCTCTTTTTTTAAAATCTAGAATATATGTAATTATCTGATGTTGTTGTTGTTGTTGTTATGTGCCATCGAGTCAGACCCGATTCATAGCAACCCCTCCTTGGGTTTCCGAGGCAGTATCACTACGGAAGTAGATTGCCCCATCTTCCTTCTGAGGAGTGGCTGGTGGGTTTGAACCGCCAGCTCTCTGGTTAGCAGTCAAGTGCCTTAGGTACTATGCCACCAGAGCTCCCATTATCTGATAGCCCATACCAACTACTCTGTCATTACTAGAGGTAAAACCTTTTGTCCTCCTCTGTTATTTTTCCATCACACTCATTACACTTGATATTTAATATTATTTATTTAATTATTTGGTGTATATTTTTGTCTCCTCCATTAAAATGCAAACTCTGTAAAGTCACAGTTTTTGTCTCTTTGGTAAAATCCTAGTGCCCAAAATAATACCTGGCACATCATTAGACATTCAACAAATATTTGTTGAATGAATGATTAAATCTTCAGCTCTTCAAAACAGCCATCAACAAACAAAATAAATCCCTTGATAACAAAAAGAGGAGCTGCAATTATAGAACATTGTTCTTTCAACATATTGCACTAGTAGACTGCCATAGTTGAGGTTCATTTTTCCGTAACTTACAGAATCGGACTTCAAGATTCTGACATTTAAAAAAAAAAAAAATGTAAACAAAAAAGATTCTGACATTTCATTCTTTTTTTTTTATTATTATTAGGATTTGGGTGAAGATTTACAGAGTAAATTCACTTTTCATACAGCAGTTCACATATACTTTATCTCATGTCATTGACCAAAATTTACAATGCAGCAGCTCCCCTCCCACTTCCTCCCCATAGTTACCTCCTCCCAGTGTCCATCCCTTCATACTCTTCTGCACCCTGAGCTATCTCCCTGTGCATAAGCAGCCCTTCCTTCTCCCATGATTGTTCTCTCCAGGGCGTGTGTCTACTTGAGGTAAATGTTTAACTCACATGCCTGTACTTTGTTTGGCTGGAAACCACAGTTGTGGGTTCAATTCCAGACCTGCAGGGCAGCTAGGGGCCATAGTCTCAGTGGTTCCACCAGGCTCTATTGGACCAGCAAACCTGGTCCCCACCTTTTTTATTTGCCTCCAAATGATTTTGAGTTTTGTTCCACATTGTTCTCCCTCTTTATGCAGGATCTCCTACATCCCTTCCAAGTGGATGGCAGTGGTAGCTGGGCACCATCTAGTTCTTCTGGTCTCATAGTTGTATAGGTTGCAGATCGGATGGTGTACCAGTCGCTAGGACTGATTGTTTCCATTAATTTTGGTTTTCTTCTTTCTTCTTGACGAGGAGAGACCCGTTGTTGCATCTAGATGGCAGCTTCCTAGCTTTTAAGGTCCCAGTCGCTACTCGCCAAAGTAGTAGGTGGAACAATGTTTTGTATAGTATGTCATGACAATTGAGCTTGATGTCCCCTGCAACTATGGTCCCAAGCCCGCAGGATCAACTACTCGGTCCCTCTGGGTAGCTGGCTGTGACCAAGTAATGACCATAACCTTGCCCCTTGTCAGCACTACTATACACCTGGGAATTCTGATCATTCACATGAACTTATAGGCCCATTGTCTGCCAACCCTATATATGGTCTTGGATACACTCTCCATTTAGACATACCTAATTGTTTAGCTTGTTCACCTATCTATCCGTCCCTATACCCATGTTTGCTTTCACTGACAACTCAGTACTGTATATGCAAAAGGGTTCATATTTGTTGTCTGTACTGCCCATGTAACTCTCTATGTCTTTCTCATCCTCAATGCTGCCATATTGGTCACTCACATTTGGTACATTGCCCTTCTCTTCACCCAAATCAATATTTATCTCTATCTATCTAACAGCATTCCCTCCCCTCCCCTCCCACCCCTGGTAACCAACAAAGAAAATGTCCTCCAATATATAAACCTTTCCTTAACTTTTACAATAACGGACTAATACAATATTTGTCCTTTTGTGACTGACTTACTTCACTCAGCATAATGTCCTCCAAGTTCATCCACATTATGCGGTGTTTTGCAGATTCTACATTATTCTTTAGCGTTGCATAGTATTCCATTGTGTGCATGTACCAAAGTTTGGTTATCCATTCCTCAGTTGTTGGACATCTAGGTTGTTTCCAAGTTTTGGCTATTGTAAATAGTGCTGCGATGAACATTGGTGTGCATATATCTGTTCTTGTTATGGCTCTCACTTCTTTAGGGTATATACCTAGTAATGGGATGGCTGGGTCAAATGGTATTTGTATTTCCAACTTTTGAAGGAATCACCATACTGCTTTCCACAATGGTTGTACCATTTTATAGTCCCACCAGCAGTGTATGAGAGTCCCAATCTCTCCACAACCTCGCCAGCATTTGTTATTTTCTGTCTTGTTGAACTTTGCTACTAGTGCTGGAGCAAGATGGTATCTCATTGTTGTTTTGATTTGCATCTCTCTAATAGCTAATGATCATGAGCATTTCTTCATATGTTTGTTGGCCGCTTGAATATCCTCCTTGGTGAAGTGTCTATTCATGTCTTCTGCCCATTTTTTAATTGGATTGTTTGTCTTTTTGTTATTGAGGTGTTGGAGTGTTCTGTAAATTCTAGAGATGACATTTCATTCTTATCATGACTATTATGTCATGATAAGACATGGGTCAGTTTAGCAATGCAGGTAGACTGGGTACAGTTAAAATATGATAACATATGAAAGTACTTTGTAAACTATAAACAAATATAAAATTATAAGGTATATGTGATCATTAAGGAAGCCCTGGTGGCATAGTGGTTAATACATTCGGCTGCTAACAAAAAGACTGGTGGTTCAAACCCATCAGCTGCTTCACAGGAGAAAATTGAGGGATTCGCTTCTGTAAAGATTTACAGCCTTGGATACTCTGTGGGGCAATTCCACCCTGTCCTAAGGAGTCACTATGAGTTGTAATCAACCTGATGGCAGTGGGTTTGTTTTGGTTTATGTGATAATTATATTCAGTTGCATTCATTAAGCTGACCTTTTCAGATTTCATTTTGAGAATATCTTTATGTGTGTGTTTTTCATGGGTAAGTATGGTGAATTACAGAAATAATAATAAAAATCATAGCAATGTGTTTATAATAAAGTCCTTATGAAATTTCTTGTTAATGTTTTAACTTTTCTTTCGTAGGAACTTAAGAGATTTCAGAACTTCGTAAAGTACTGTCCTCCTTTTGATATTGTCATCGATGGGCTCAATGTTGCCAAGATGTTTCCTAAAGCTCGTGAATCTCAAGTTGTAAGTAAAATTTTTATTTTGTTATTCCAAATACCTGGAAATAATTATTGTTCCCATTTGTGATCTTCCTTGGGGCTGTTCACATCCCATTTTTTCTTTCTCTAAAATTAAGTTTCTAAAGGTACCGTAGTGACCAACAGTTCATCCAGGGTTCACTCTTTTATCTCTCTGGATCTTGAAGGCCAGGCAAAACTGAGAGATTAAAAGGAAGTTTGTGTTATGAAGGGCTGATTCAGCCCTTTTGTATACCTCTAGGTAATGTTTTACTAGGTTTCTGCTGTCTCTTTAGAGTTACTCTACCTTTTTCCTGTGGGCCACATCTTTTTATTAGAAAATTACCAACATGAACAATCAAGAGCTATTAATCACTCATTACTCACAATTGTTTTACAAACATAGTATATTAATAAATTAACCTAAACAGTTTTTCTTCTTTAATCGTTTGTTTTATCAATTTGTAAAAGTCCTGCTAGTTTCTAATCAAAATATTGTAGCAACAGTGACCAGTCAATTTCATTCTTACTTTACAGATTAGAAAATCGAGGCTGTTTTCTATACTAAGTCTTTTGAAAGCAGTTGGAAATCAAAATTACATTGTAGTGAGCTCCAGGCTATAAGGCTCCTGACCCTTATCATTGGCAATCTGTGGCTATTCCTTTGTAACTGAACATTTATTTCTTAAAAATTGCCAATGACATAAAACTTTTTTTCAGAGATGTTACTTGTTCATTTTGGCCGTTTATACTCAGAGAAACTTAGAAATACTGACAAAGGACAAAATCTTACAAGAATTTTTTTATATTCCTTTCCTTTAAGCTTGTGCCTACATATTTATGATCAAGTATTTATCTTTCAATCCTTATTTAAAAAAAAAAATTGAAAAAGAATATTGAAAATATTTTTGTCTCCCTCTGGTAGCATAGTGGCTAAAGCACTTGACTGCTAACCAGAAGGCTGGCGGTTCAAACCCACCAGCCACTCCTCGGAAGGAAGGTTGGGCAATCCTACTTCCGTAGTGCTAATGCCTCGGAAACGCAAGGAGGGGTCGCTATGAGTCGGGGCCGACTCAAAGGCATATAACAACAACAACAACAATGTACTTGAAACAGCTTTTGAGGCAGTGATTTTTTTTTAAATAATAATTTATTGTGTTTTTGGTGAAGGTTTATACAGCAGTTTAGATTCCTATTCAACAATTTCTGCACAGATTGTTCAGTGACATTGTTTAGTTTTTCACAGTGCATGAGCATTCACATTATTTTCATTCTGGTTGTTCTGTTCCCATTAATCTAGTTTCCATGCCACCTTACATTCAGATCTTTGTTTTAAAGTAATTATTGATAGTTTGATGTCATATAGATAGTTTTAGTGAAGAGCCTCTTTTGGGGGGAACATTTTATTGTGCTTTAGGTAAATTAGTTTTTCATTTAATAATTCATACACAAATTGTTCTGTGACATTGATTACAATTCCTGCAGTATGTCAGCACTCCCTCTGTTTCTATTCTGGGCTTCCCATTTCTGTTCATTTTGCCTTCCCTGCCAATTCCTGACTTCTCATCTTTGCTTTTGGGCAAATGTTGATCTTTGGTCTTGTATAGTTGGTAGTTCTAAGGAGCACATTCCTTGTGGGTGTTACTATGTATTTTATAGGCCAGTGTATTTATTTGATTGAAAGGTGACTTCTCAAAATAGCTTCAGTTACAAGTTTGAAAGGTCTTAGGGCAATAGACCCAGATTTCCTCCAGTCTCTATCAGATCAGTAAGTTGAACCTTTTAATTAATTTCATTTTTGTTCTATATTTTTCTCCCATTCTAACCAGGACCCTCTATCATGTTTCTGGTCAGAGCAGTCAGTAGTGGTAGTTGGGCACTGTCTAGTTCTTCTGGTCTCAGGCTATGGAAGCTGTGCTTCATGTGGGCCATTAGTCCTTTGGACTAATTGTTTCCTTGAGTATTTGGTTTTCTTCACTATCCTTTGTTCCAGATCGGAGGAGAGCAGTAGTTATATCATAGAAGGTTGTGTGCAAGATTTAAGACCCCTTTTAAGAGCTGCTACTTGCCAAACTAGCATGTAAACATTATAAGAACTGTTATACAAATTTAACTAGATGTCCCCCAGGACTATGGTCCTTAGCCTTCAAGCCCAGTAACTCAGTCCTGTGAAGTGTTTGGTTATGTCTAAGAAGTTTTCCTAACTGTGTCTTCTGTTATATATGTGAATATACATGCATCATATGCAAATATGTATGTATAAATCTCCATAATTATACTTATATATGAGGAGCTCTGGTAATGTAGGGCCTAAGGCACTTGACTGCTAATCAGAAGGCTGGCAGTTCAAACCCACCAGCCACTCCTCAGAAGGAAGGTTGGGCAATCTACTTCTGTAGTGATTCCGCCTCAGAAACCCAAGGAGGGGTTGCTATGAGTCGGGTCCAGCTTGACGGCACATAACAACAACAACAACAATAACTTACATATGTAAGTATACTCCTATACAACCTCCAACAGCTACTTAACATATACATCTACCTTTGTATCTACTCAGAAATTATTGTTTACAATTACTGTTGTTGCAGAATTGTATATGTTATACTATTTACTATTGTTGCCTTTTATTCTCTGTACCTCTCAGTATCTTCTTTTGCTTGGTCATGTTGTTTTGACTTCCCCCATATTGTGTATTGCTTTTCCCTTCACCAGAATTAACATATATCTGCTATCTGATTAATGATTCTCCCTCCCTCCTCCTTCCATCCTGGTAACCATCAAAGAATGTTTCCTTCTGTATGTAAACCTGTTCTTGACTTTTTGTAAAAGTGGTCTCATACAGTATTTGTTGTTTTGTGATTGACTTATTTCATTCAAGATAATGTCCTCCAGATTAATCCATGTTGTGAGATGTTTCACAGATTCATCATTATTCTTTATTGTTGTGTAGTATTCTGTATGTATGTACCACAATTTGTTTATCCATTCATGTACTGTTGGACACTTAGGTTAAGGCAGTAGTAATACTGGCATAGGCACTGCCAGAAAAAAAAAAAAAAAGCATGAAATTCTTGTAATTTATGCTTGGTAGCACTCAGGATTAGAAGTGCTCATTCTGAAAAGGTCCCAATTCAGTCTGTTAGAAATAAAAAGTTTTCTATTTGTTTGTCACACAGCACTAACAATTTACTTTTTCAGAGTATATAGCCCAAATTTGATTAATGTTTTTAGAGAAAGCAAAATGTTGAAGATGGTCTAGTTAATACTTCCTCCAGCATCACTTCATAGATGTAACTATTATTATGATTGGGAGTCCTTGGGTGGTGCAAATGGTTAACACTTTAGCCTGCTAATGCAAAGGTTGGAGGTTCAAGTCCATCCATGGGTGCCTCAGAAGAAAAGCCTGGTCTACTTTAGACAAACCAGCAATTGAAAACCCTGTGGACTACAGTTCTACTTTGACACATATGGGGTCTCTAGGAGGTGGACTCAACTCCATAGCAACTGGTTTTCCATTATTATAATTACTTTGCAGATGAAACTCTGATTCTTGCTTTCCCCAGAACCTTATCTGACAGTTTTTAAATTTTTCCTGTTATGCCATCCAGGTCAGGGGAGTTAAAAAGAAAACACAAAACTCAGGTGCCTAAATAATTACTTGATTGAGAATTAAAGTTAGTACTAGATAGGGAGCTCTGATAGCATAGTGCCTAAGGCACTTGACTGCTAACCAGAAGGCTGGTGGTTCAAACCCACCAGCCACTCCTCGGAAAGAAGATGGGGCAATCTACTTCCGTAGTGATACTGCCTCGGAAACCCAAGGAGGGGTCGCTATGAGTCAGGGTCGCTATGAGTCGGGTCCAACTCGACGGCACATAACAACAACAACAACACTAGATAGGTAAGGAGGGTATCAGTATTTTTGGTGGATGATTTGAGTATAATTTTCAACATCTAAAATGCTGAAATTCTATTTGTAGGAACTAATAGATTTACGGGAGCTCTGGTGGCATAGTACCTAAGGCATTTGACTGCTATCCAGAAGGCTGATGATTCAAACCCACCAGCCACTCCTCGGAGGGAAGACTGCAATCTACCCACATTAGTACATAAAGTTATGTATCCATGTATGTTAATTACAACATTATATGTAAGCAGAAAAATGTAAACAACCTAAATATCTTTCAGTCCAGGGCCTGATATATTATTGAAACATCTGTCTAAATGAATGAGGTAGATCTGTATGTGCTGAAGTGGAATAGTAGCGAAAATATGTTTGCTACTAGGTGCCATTGAGTTGGCGCCAACTCCTAACAACCCTACATACAACAGAATGAAACACTGCCTGATCTTGTGCCATCCTCATAGTCCTTTCTCTGCTTGAGCCCGTCGTTACAGCCACTGTGTCAATCCATTTCCTTGAGGATCTTCACCTTTTTCACTGACGCTCTCCTTTACCAAGCATGACATCCTTCTCCAAGGAATGGTCCCTTCTGACATGACCAGTGTAGGTGAGGGGAAGTCTGGCCATTCTTGCTTCCAGGGAACATTCTGGCTATATTTCTTCCAAGATAGGTTTGTTCATTTTCTGGCAACCCACGGTATTGTCAGTATTCTTGGCCAGCACCACAATGCAGAGGCATCAGCTCTTCTTTGGTCTTCCTTATTCAGTGTCCAGCTTCCACATGCATATGAGGCTACTGAAAATACCATGACTTGGGTTAGGCACACCTTAGTCTTCAAAGTGACATCTGAATTCCTTGACACTTTAAAGAATTCTTTCTCTGCATATTTACCCAGTACAATACGACATCTGATTTCCTGACTGCTGCTTCCATGGGTGTTGACTGTGGATCCAAGTGAAATAAAATCCCTGACGATGTCAATCTTCTCTCCCTCGATTTATTGTGATATAGCCTATTGGTCCAGTTGTGAGGATTTATGTTTTCTTCATGCATAGGTGTAATCTTTGATCTTTATCAGTAATGCTTCAAGTCATCTTTACTT